TTGGATGGGACGGGATGGGATGAACAGGATGAGACAGAAGGCTCCCACTTCCCCCTGAATAGGGTGATCCCTTGTCCCGAGAACAAAAGGGCTGTTCCCAGACTACAAGGGCACCTCCCAGGCAGTTCCTGGTCTCTGAAGAAAAACAAAAATAAAAGCAAATCCACCCGGGGCTTTTTGGTCACCTCGATTTATTACAAAACAAGCGGTCTGTGCACTCAGCTTCTGCAGGTTTTGTACGAGTCCCCAGTGCTTCGGTGGCCTTCTGGCACACTGAGAGGATGCATTTGGGTGCTGCTCCGATGGTTCCCTACATGAGGGGACAGTAGAGCAGGGGTCTGGGGCACAAACTGGCAGCATCTTCAGCCCCAGGATGTACCAGGCTCCCCAGTGTCTCTGGACACCTCCTTCTGTCTGTGCCAGGCCTGTCACCGCAGCGCTGAGCACTGTCACAGCGTTTGCTGGCTCAGTGCCAGCCTCTGTGCCCTGGGGAGAACCAGGGCTGTGTCTGCAGTCACATCCTCAGGCTGGGTTAGACATCAAGCCTGCGTTTCTTCCCAGCAGCTGAGCCCATCACAGAAGGTCCAAAAGGATCCCAAAGAGGTGGGAGGGTCACCTGGGTGGGGAAAGCCACCCTGTTTGTCATTGTGCCCTGTGCCCAAACACCCTCAGGGGGGCAGGTGCAGCACCTGTGTGCACACCCAGAGCCCACACACATCACCTCAGCACTGCAGCTCTCCCAGCAGAGCATCAGTCCCAAAATGTGCCTGTCCCGATGCTGAACCCACACTGCAGGGACTGGGAACCCTGGCCCCAGTTAAATCTGGGGTGGGGCTGCCCCTGCTCAGCCTGAACTGCTACAGTTCTGCCAGGCCAGGACCGGCAGCATGATGTCCTGGGGAGCTGTCTGATGTCCTGGGGGGCTGTCTGTCCATCCCCACATCCTCTCACAGGCTGGGGACGTTGCTCATCATGCTGGAGTTGCTGGACAGAGGCGCCCTGGGCCGAGCGTTCCACGCCACGGAGCCGCGGAAGCTGTCCCGGCAGCGCAGGGAGCTCTCGGTGGAGGAGCCCGAGTTGATGTCCGAGATGACCAGGCAGCTGCCCGGCCTGCAGAGCCCCAGCCTGAGGCAGCAGCAGCACAGCAGGCTGCCCACGGCGCGGCGAACCTCCACGCTCCGCAGGGAATAAATGACGGGATTGACCCCCGAGTTGAGCAGCGCCAGGGCCAGCGTCCAGTCCAGGCTGTGCAGGTGGGCGCAGGTGCCCGTGTCACAAAACACATCCAAGAGCAGCAGGACGAAGAGGGGGCTCCAGCAGATGATGAAGGCCCCCAGGATCATCAGCACCGTCTTGAGCAGGCGCAGAGAACGCCTGCGGCCGTGCCGAGAGCTGCTGTGCTGGGAGCTGGCCTGCACCAGGTGGAAGATGGAGATGTAGAGGCCGATGATGCCCAGGAGGATGATGCTGAACATGACCACGGAGAAAAGGATGTAATCCTTGGAGTAGAGCGGCAGCAGCACCGAGCAAGCCTGGAAGTCACAGAGGCAGTTCCAGCCCAGCAGTGGCAGTAGCCCGATGACCAAAGCCAGCAGCCAGCAGGACACGATGAGACCCCGCAGGCGCAGGGTTTTGCTGGCCTCGTTCTCCGCGATGGGTCTCACCATGGCGCTGTAGCGCTCGATGGCYGTCACCAGCAGGCTGAAAGTGGAGGCGGCCAGGGCGATGAAGAGGATTCCCTCGCGCAGGAACCAGAGCTGGGGGGACAGCTGGAAGGTCCTGCTGCCCGACAGGCASAGGTTGGACAGGTAGGCGACGCCAGCCAGCAGATCACTGACGGTGATGCTGGCGATGCACGAGTAGACCCAGCGGCGYGCCCGCAGGCAGCGCAGCACGGCCAGCAGCACCAGCAGGTTCTCCAGGATGATGGCCCCGCTGAGCGCCGCRAAGGCCGTGCGGACCAGCCCCATGCCCTCGTCGCCCGACTGCCGGCGGCTGAGCTTGCCGGAGAAGTTGTAGTGCTGCAGGATGATGTTGATGTTCTTGGTGGCTGCCAGATGCAGGCAGGAAGCTTTGGTGCCCAGCAGGTCGAGCCTGAGCTCGGGGTGCTGAGCGGAGTCCGGAGGGAGGAGGAGGGASAGATTCACCAGCACTGGAGCATCCATCTTCCAAGGATGGGTCAGGGATGCTCGAGGGAAAAAGGGATCAGATGGGACTTGGGGCAGAGCAGATCCTCTGTTTGAATGCTGGGGCAGCTGTGAGACTGAACCCAGCGTGGAGGTGAGGGTTAGAGCACAATCTGCCAGCCCTGCGGCGCTGAAAGAACAAGGGGAGAGGAGGGTGAGGTGTTTTGTAAGTCCACCCATGGGCATGGGCTTCCTGTTGTTTAATAAAGTTTCCTGTTGTGACGGAGAGTATTGACACCTCTACCAACAGCTGTCGTCATTTCTTGGTAAGGGTCTGGTTATTCTGGGCTTTGCTGTGGTTGTGAAGGTGGGATGTGAACGGGGAACGCCTCAGGGCCCTTTTTGGGGTGGGGCAGGCTGGGTCAGATGGATCAACACCTTGGAGGAGTCAGTGGGGCTGAACAGATCTGAGGGCTGGGAGAGCACCCAGACAGCTTGGGGCACAAAGGGCTGTGCCTGTTGTGGTCCTGGATTCACCCCTGAGCCTGGCACAGCCTCTTCCCCAACTGCCCCACACACATCCTGCATCCTTCTGCACGAGGAACATCCTCTGGGCTCCTCGTGGGGCTCCTCTCAGAGCACACCTGGATACATCCATCCATGTCCATGCAACCCCATCTCCATCCCCATCCATCCCTGTCCATCCCATCCATCCATGTCCAACCATCCTCATCTCCATCCCCATCCATCCCTGTCCATCCCTGTCCATCCCCATTCATCCACGTCCATCCATGTCCAACCATCCCCATCTCCATCCATCCATATCCATCCCCGTCCATGTCCATCCATCCATGTCCATCCCCATTCATCCATGTTCGTCCCTGTCCGTCCAGCCCCATCCATCCCTATCTCCATCCCCATCCATCCACACCCATCCCCATCCCCATCCCCATCCCCATCCCCATCCCCATCCCCATCCCCATCCCCATCCC